GAAAAAGGAAAATATGAAGAAAATTGTGTGGGGGAGGGGGTGGAAGATAGTGAGAGAGAGGGGGGGGGCACCGTTGTATGTAAGGAGTGAACCCACATATCGTTGGAGGAGGGTAGGGCGTTCTTGGGCAAGGACGAGGGTGGTGGGAGTGTTAGCGGGAGTGAACCGCACGTCTTCACTTTGTAATACAGGGCGGAAGCGATAACTATTGTAATACGGCGGTGGGGGGGGGGGTTCGTGAGGGCTTGTCGCCCGGGAGGTGCCGATTGGGGTCTCGTTGCCCAGCTCTTCCATCTCCTCCTCACTTTACAAAGCATCCGGATACGAATAGGCGTTTGCGGATTCGCAACGGCAAAAATCAAACGCAGGTGCATATGGTACCACGAAACACCGCTGCAAAGAGACCGACAAAAATACAGCCATCATGCCTGCTGCGCCCGGCTTGTTAAATATCAGAGGCAGTGTGAACAACACGATTCCAGTGCAAACCCAGTGGTTCAAGGGGTATTCACGGCATGCACGTAAACAAAACAGACAAAGTTGTATCGGCCACCGCAACAAGCTACCACAAAAACATTGGTATATAACCATAGCAGCGAAGCACGAACTACGGCATAGAGAGAGATAGAGAGAGAGGTCGGGCGTCAACACACATACAGTACCTGCTCCTCGATGGTGTTGGAGATGGTGAAGTCGAGCACCACGTAACCGTCCATGATGTGCTTCACGCAGCGGACGACGTACTCCGTCTCCGACTCGGTCAGTTCGACCGGCGTGGCCGAACGGAACACGCGCCCGAGCCTCTCCAGTTCCGGCACCTGTTGTTGTTGGCGAAACACAGCAGTGGGGGCGGGCGGGTACTCACATGTTTTGCATGCCTTAGCGGTTAGACCATAGACCACGCGTTCTCGAGAGGACGGGGCATTGGGGGGGTACTCATGTGTTGCGTGCTGCAGCGGTTAGACCATTGACCACGCATCCTCGAGAGGGCGGGGAGGGAAAAGATGTTGGCGACACGGAAAAACCATGGGGACGTGAACAGGCTGAAACGACTGGTACCTACCTCACAGAACAAACAACACAAGACAAGACAGAAGACGACGACCGCAGAAAAAGCCCCAAGCACTGCCAAGCGTCTGATCGATCGATCGATCGACCGACCGACCGACCGACCGACCGACCGACCGACCGACCGACCTTGTAGGCAACACAACACAAAACCCACAACAAACGGCAACGATTAGACGACAGCAAGCGCCAAGCACTGCAAAGCATCAGACAGACCCACCGAAGGACCGACCGACCGACCGATCTTGTAGACAACACAGGACAAGACCCACAACAAACGACAACGATCAATGGACAGCAAGCCCCAAGCACCGCAAAGCATCAGACAGACAGACCGACCGACAGACAGACCGACCGACCTTGTAGACGTGCTCAGCGGGGTCGTCCGGCGCCACCTCCGCCGCCGAGGCAGAGCCCGACCGACCGTCCTTGCCGGCACCCTTGGCCACGATACCGGTGGGCACGGCCACTTCTTCCACTGGACAAAATAAAATAGGTAAGCACGAAAAGTACGAGCATGAGCATGGAGTGCACCAGAGGAAAACAGCCACTTTCCTCCCATGAAAAATAGACAAGGATGAAAGAACGCGCACATGCTTCGTATTTAGAGGAAACGGTCACTTCCTTCACTAACAAAAAACAGACAAGGAAAAAGAAGCACGCGCATGTGTATGTAGAGGTAAACGGCCACTTTCCTCCACTGAAAAAGAACATAAAGAAAGGGCAAAGAGCACGCGCATGTGTACGGCAAGGCGACTCGAGTAACAAAATTGCTTGTGGGGTGGGGTGTGTTTCATTGATGTTTGAATTACAGTCGTGGTCCCGGTTTAGCGGTCCATACATGTACAGTGTCACAAAATGTTATCACCGCTATTGAGGGCATCGCCGCTTAGGATTGGCAGCTACACAGTAGTTTTGGCTACCGAGGTGCAGCGGTACCACGAGATTCTGGAACCGCTATTCAGGGCATCCCGCTTAACAGGGAGAACTCGCTAAACCGGGAGCACGACTGCATATTCACATCTTCTCATTCTTGGGCGCGCCAACAAGCGCAGGGGGACACGCGTGACGTCACCGACAACGGAAAAAGGGGGAGAACACGAAAACGCTGCGCTTGTGGGCGGGAACACAGCGGGCAGCAATGGTGTGGAATTCGGAGACGGTTTTACCCTTCGAGCAGGCTCGTTTTCTGTCGATAACAACTCTCGTGGCGTGTCCAAACGTCACGGACTACTGATCGACCAATTCCCGCCACGGCCAAATGGTTGGGATGTTGGGATTTCGGTACCGTATTTTTTCTGGTGTAAAGGATGGTGATTATGGCCGCAATTGTTTTCGGAGTGACACCACAGGGAAAAAAAGGAGTGTCAAGAGGAGGAGCCAGCTGTCAAGTCACAAAGACACCAAGCGATCACACGCAATTCGGGGGGGAAGGCCAAAACGCGCAAACATATCTCGATATGTGCGTTTGTTCGTCCCAAAAGTAGTCTGGCGCCAGTCTACACCCTCGGTGCATATTCTTGGCGTATCAGCCGGGGGTCACACAAGAGGAAGGTCACCCAGGGATAATTAATGTATATATACTCTTCGAAGCATTTCGTTATTTCTGGGAAGAGCATAATGATGCGCATCAGGCAGGCGCATTGTGTGTCCAGGTATAGCACAATGGTAGGCAACAGGAACGCCAATTGCGTGTGTGACACTGTTTCGTTCGTCGGGAGTGTTCAAAACCTCGATGCTGAATGTCGACAACGAGGACAACGATTGAACCCCCCCCCAGCGAGAATAGCGGACCCCCGGGGCTGTGTAAGCTCCATACAAAAGCACGCAGGTGCTCAGATGCCCAAAGTAGCAGAGCCTAGCCAAAATAAGCCCCGTTGAACATCGAGGTGCGCTCAGGTGCTCAAACCAGTAGTACATAGCAGGGGCCAAAAAACACAAGAGAACAAATAAATCGCCTGTTACCTCACCTACGGGGAGCGACGATAGCACGAGAGGCTGCCCGGCTGTGGCCGGCATGTGCTGGTGGTAGGCCTTCACCGCCTTCTCCAGGGAAGAGAAGCTCATCGGGAGGGCCTCAAGAAGCAGGTGAGCCCTGTTGGCGTTTGTGGAAGCGGAGGCGCGCGAGAGAGATATAGAAAACAGGGGGTTGGTTTCTTGGTCCACGAATCCTTCAGACTGGCGGTGTGGAAACCCAAGAAACTCATGCTCTCACATGTTTTTTCTTTTTTCCAAAAAGCGTTGAGGTTTGGTGGGGCGCTTGGTTAAGTCTGCATACGGTAGCACGGCATAGTAGTTGGCACAATCTCGCGGGGAGCCAGCCGGCAACCAAACAAAAACGTTGACGACGAACGTGTCAAGCGTTGCAACGACACGGGCCCCGGGAGGGTTGGCGTGCTCTGCCGCAGCAGCAATACGTATCATCGTACGCTAACGCTCCGCGTCTGGCCATTGCGCCGCAGCGAGTGGATTGTCACAGCAACAACCCATACCATCGCACCGCTGAAGCTCAGCGTCCAACCGTTGTACCACCGCCGTGTGGAGTAAAATCATCGGGAGGGCTTCCAGCACACGAAGGCATCTTGCGCCTCGGGGGCGGCTAACAAAACGCCGAAAGCCAGCACTTCGGATAAGTTGTAACTTTGCACGTTTGGCGCCTCCCCCCACGTACCACGCCCCACTTTCCTACCCACCCCTCTCCCCATGCTCTGCTACCCCGGTAGGCAAACAACGCCATCACCGGCGCACTCACGTGGTTGGCTTCCCCAGAGGGGGGCCCGCGGTGGCCGGCCCATCCCCCTTGGTTTCCTCTGCGCCGTGCCCCCCCTCCACGAGGGCATCGGCACCGGCCTCGTCCTCCCCGTCGTTGTCGCCCAGGAGGGTTAGCGCTACCGTCGCCCGATCGCGGACCTGTTGTTTACGTCGCATTGGCGGGGGTTGGTCATGGTTGACGGTAGGGCCCGGTTTGGCGAGCCCGGGAGGGCATGGGGTCACTATTCAGGGCAGGTCGCTTTTGCCGTGTTGGTCATGTTGACAGTAGGGCCCGGTTTGGCGAGCCCGGGAGGGAATGTGGTCACTCTTCAGGGCAGGTCGCTATTGCCGTGTTGGTCATGTCGACAGTAGGGCCCGGTTTGGCGAGCCCGGGAGGGAATGTGGTCGCTATTCAGGGCAGGTCGCTACTGCCGGAATAGTGACTGGTACTCTGGGTGCACTGGCGGTGCCAAGTGAATTCTTGTGGTCGCTTTATTCGTGCAGGGCATGTCGCTGAACAGGGGCATGTCGTTAAACCTGGCACACCACGTTCGTGAGAAGCAACTCGAGCTGTCAGGAGTCACAGTCACACGTACGTCCCCCAATAAGAACGTGGGATATCTCGGAACAAAGGAGGGACGCGAAAAAATTGTGTGGGTAGATTAAAATATAGATACATATATGCGGTAGTTCCACTCTCAACAGCAGCCGTACCGCCGACCACCGAAGCATCCCAACGACGATTCGGAAAACAACCAAAACATGAGGGCAAAACGCAGGATGTACCATCGGGATGGCAGGGGGAAACAGGGATGTTCGACGGCACATATCTCGACCATCCTCCTCCGGCAGAAATTTCCCCGACAAAAAGGACAAACACAGGTACAGCAGTGTGGAGAAGAAGCGGGGGGGCATCAATACCCCGGGTGAAGTCGCTTGGCACACACACGGTTAACCCGCACAAATAGAGCCAGCCTCTCCCCCCCACCGCTGTACATCGCACCCTCCAAAGCGACTCGCCGAACACCTCACGACGCTTCGCGCTTGGCGACGTGAGAGCCTGGTCCCGTGAGAACCCGGCGTGCTCCGTCCCAGCTTTGTAGGGGTGCGAGGTCAATGGTCTAACAACTACGGCATGCACGGCTACGAGTACAACCCCCCCCGTACAAGCGTTCACAAACCGCGTTCACCTCGTCGTCTTCGTCCAGCAGCGAGCGCTTGATGAGCACACGGATGGAGGGTCTGAGGGAAGGCAGCCTGGCGGCGAACTTGGCGAGGGCGGGCACCGCGGCGGCGCGTACCGCCGCGTTCTCCAGGATGACCCTGCGGAACAAATATATACATTTACATCCAGCACAAGAAAGAAAGAAATCAAAATCGTGTGCTCAATGGGGACGACAACACCACGCCAAAAGCTGCTGTCGAGCTTCGACGTGTTAGCAGCAGACCAAGTCAGTGTTTAGTGCCTGGTGGTGGAAGAACTCGGGCGACTAATATGGATGGGTATACCGCCGCCTTCTCTAGGATAAGCCCAGCGGAAATGTTGTTCTTGTTCTTGTTTTGGTCGTTGTCTTGACATCAAAAACCGTTCCGGTCTCCGCCCAGCAAACTCAAAAAACACCCGCTGGTCCAACTGACGCGGAATACATGCAGAAAAAAAAAAAAATCGTGTTCTCAATGGGGACGAAAACACAGCAAGCCTGCTGCCGAGCTTCGGCGTTCGAGCAGCACACGAAAACTCGGCATTTTGTGCCTGGTTGAAGTAGTCTAGACTATTTGGCAACTGTATCTCGGATATCTACGAGGGAGTGTAGCAGATGGATCGAGTTATTTTCTCTTTTACGGGAGAATCTCACGTAGGTGCAGTACCCATAATAGCACGGAAGATTGCGCCGACCGCGTGGGAGCGCTTTTCGTGGAAAAGTGAATCGGTTGATTTATTGTCTACTTGGTCCAAGGGCTGTTGAGCAGGACGTTGGACTGGTGTGGAATGTTTGATTGTAAGATTCAGTCAACCACTGCTGTGGACGACATCTGTTCGACTCGAAGTCGCATGCCGTTTCCAAGACAGCCGTGGCCTGTGCACACATTCGTATCACGTATACACACTATTTATCAGTACAGCGCATCCTGCTCCGCCTGGACGAATCGGATGTGCGAATACAGCCGTGTTTCCCCCCGAGACACATGAGCCGCACAATCGTTCTGTGTTTTATCTCACGTGTGTACGAATAATGTTATTCTTGAGTCGAGAGTAGTCGTTGTTTTCAGCCGATTTACCACAGTTACACGAGTGAACGTGACGGTGAAACTTAGGGCTACCTCTTGCAGACGAATCTCATGTATCGGGCGGGGACATGAGAACACAACGTGGAGCCTATCGTAGATGAATCCGATATATCGCTACAGGTACAAGAAATAGAAAAATAGGGTCACCTGTTGTAGATGAATCTGATGTATCGGGCGGGGACATGAGAACACAACGTGGAGCCTATCGTAGATAAATCCGATATATCGCTACAGGAAACAGAAAAATAGGGTAACCTGTTGTAGATGAATCTGATGTATCGGGCGGGGGCCGAAGTGGACGGGCCCAGCTCCCCCACGAGACTGAGGATCTGCGTCGACAGGGCCGTGAACTCGCAGTCCTCGATGAAGTCGCAAAGGTGAAACAGAGACATCTCCTGCAAAAGGCAGCAAAAAAACAGCGTGGACGGACAGATTAGAAGGATGTGACACACAGTTGTAGGGTTTGGGCCACGCTGAGGGTTTGCCCGCAAGCCAGAACGTGCAGCAGGAAAGGCTGGTGCACGGCAGGCGGTGGACGCTTGTCGGGCTAGAGCAGAGACAGGTTGACCTCGGGCACACGAAAAATGTTCGAGGAGGAGGCTGGTCAACCCTAACGTTGCAGCTAAGCTCGACCAAGTGTCTTCCGCCAGAGAGGGATCTAGATCGCAGCCATTCAGGTCGTAGCGTAGGGGCTCTCGACCGAGCTAAAAAAAACGGTGTTCAAGTTCCTAGATATTGAGCTTTAGCGAGGCTATCTCAACTTCTTGACGGCCGATTTCTGAAGTGCGAGTGCTACCTGTAGTAGACAGTTCGTCATCAAACACATACAAAAAACACACACACACACACAAACAAAAAAACCATGCCTTTGTCTCCGGAATGGCGGTCATGAGCTCAACGATGCAGTCCGTGATGGCCTTCTTGAACTCGAAGCCTCCCTCTTCCCTCAGGAACGTGGCCAGGAAACCCACCAGCACGCGGTGCTTCAGCGGGTACTTGAGGCAAAGCTGGCAGACAATTTAATAAATCAAGTTACCGGAACAAAGAGGGGCAAGGGTTACGTCGAGAAAATAACGGAGGCGGGGAAAAGCAAGGTGCGTCCGGCCACCCGAGGCGCACGGTGGGGTGAGGACGACTGACGTATTGGCGTCACACGCAGCGCAAAAACACACACGCACACAGTTTATTCTGCTGCTGTTGTACGGTTTCTGTTATTAAACCGGGGAGTAGCTTCGCCTCCTCGACGACCCCCCCTCACGGGGTCCCAGATCATGGCGTCTTCGAAGCATTTTCTCTTCTCAGCCGCACTCAGGCTGACGAATTTTCATTGGCCAGCCGGTTAGCGCGGTCGATGCTATCAAAACACACAGAGAACACACACACATACCTGACGGATAGCCTTGACGACAACGATCTTGAACTCGTCGGCGATCTCGTTCATGAAGGAGGAGATCTGCTTCATCAGCCGGTCCACCGACCCCTCGGAGCCCGTCTTGAGCAGTGTTGTGATGGCCAGGGTAGCGATGGACCTGATCTCGCGCGCAGGCATGTACAGCAGCAGTCGAGCACGAAACAAAATCACAGCCGTGTGACCATGTACACACGTACAGCAGCAACCGGGCGAATCGAAAAAAGCTTCTCGAGACGGCGTGATTGCATCATCCTGCGTACAATCGTCAAGCCCGGCGCGTGTTTCAAGGTAGGTCACATTTCATCATCTTCATGGTCACTGTAATAACAAACAAACACGACAACAGCAATATCAATAACAATATCACAGCAAACGGCTTGCATACCACCAAGATAAAAAAGGAAGTTAAACATCGGACATAAACCACGTCCGCGTCAGAACTTGCGCTCGAGCATCCTTCCTCAGGGGGGGCGCTCTCGCCATGGATAAAACTGGTCGTTCATCGGGTGCCATCCACGCTATACTCAATACGAGACTCGAAGCAAGTTGTACCAGCGCCTCTGGACAGGCCGCTGGAGAAATCTCCTGAACTGAAAAATCTGTTTGGACCGAAAAAAAATCTGTACTGAAAATCTTCCTACAGTGAAAAAACTGTCTTGTTGTGAAACACACCGTAGCTTCTAGACTCTAATATCTTCCAGACTGAAAAATTTCCTGGTATTACTCACCTGTTAGGGTCGGAGATGAGCACCTCCATGTCCGAGTTGCACTTGAGGATGCTCATGGGGTACTTCGCGGCCACCTCGCTAAGAGTGCGCATCGTCCCGAACTTGAGAGCGGGCTTCACTGAGGTCAAGAACATCTGGTGATGGCACAGGCAAACAAGATAGATAGGCACATACGCGAGCAACGATGACGCGTTGGGGAAAAGAAGAATGCCATGCAGATCACGAGACGGAAAATAAGCCCAGCATCCAGCCGCTTTTCTTCCATTCACTTGAGACTTCAACACATCCCCTCGACTGCTGTGGTCATATCTCAAACAGGTACACAGTCTCTCTGTGATCGTACGATGAATATTTTCTGAGACGGGGAGTTCGAGAGAAGGACACGGGTGATAGACACGCTGAGGACGATGTTGCGCGACGGCTGCTGACGAACGTGGAAAGGGCCCTGACCACGGCTCAAGAAAGTGAACATGCGTACGCATACAACGTAACCATGCGACGAGCAAAAGGCAGAGTGGGCAAATGGCATACCACGTTTGAAAATAAAAAAAAAACACCAAACAATAACTCGCACACGAAAGGTCGATGCCAACATAAGAATAGACATATATCAACTGCTTGAAAATATAGAAACCGTCCTGATTATACAAATGCGATCACATCCGGAAGGTGTCTACTTTCCCGAACAAAGGTGGTACATACACCACAACGGCACTCGCAAAACGCGGCAGGCGGAAACGACGGTCGGACCTGGAGCACGTTGATGGCGGGGGAGAGGTCGTTCATCTCCACCCCGGGGAGGTTGCAGATAGCCCGGGCCGCCTCGTACATCACCATGTCGGACCGGTGGCGCAGGGAGCTCTCCAGGAACTGCCAAAAAAAATCGGCAACCAGGTCAACAAATAACCTTCCGACTGCCTGTGGTTATACCTCGAACTGGTAGTATTTCTGTGTTCATGTACTGCCTTCTCAAAACCAAAGACGCACGCACAGACAAAAATAAGTGAGATGGGATGGGTGGGAGCATGTACACAGCACCTCGTAAGGTAAAGAGAGATGTAAATGAGAGCATCCACAGTGATTTCCCACAGGGACACGCTCAAGGAACTGCGATATTTTTGTGTAACCAAAACGGAGCCGTGCAGTCGCAGGGCGACGGCACCACAAGAGCGACCAGCGAGAGAGAGAGGCAGACGTGGATGCTATCAAAAAATTGCAAAATAAATAAATAAATAAACAACAAAACGACCAGTATTAACAGTCTAGATTTTCCGCACAAAACAAACAAGAAAGTCAACGACGCAGCCGAATATCTCTGATACATGGTACGAAAACATCAAAACATGATGCCAACAAATCCAAGACGAGAAAGGAAAGAAAAGCATGCCTGGTAGGCCGCCCGCGCGTTGGTGGCGGAGATATCGTCGTGGAGGATCTTGCTCATGTAGCGGATCAACAGGCACACCGCCAGCGGGCTGCGCATCGGACTCTTGGACAGCTGGGTCACCTGTGTTGTTCGAAGAAAACCGAAACGCCGCCGCCGGCCGTGATGGGGAATGGGGTGTGACTTACTCCAATAACACAACACACGCAGCCGCACGCTTCTAGGCCGAAGGTGATGCAAGAGCCGGTCTCTCGTGGGGCAAGGCAAGCATCGGGCATGCTTGCCCCGCCGAAATATATTGAGTTCCCAAAACTGAAATTAACAAATTAAAAAAAAAGCCAAAACAAAAACTCAGTACTTTTGGACATAGTGCGTATGGTCTAGATTGTGCTCCCCATACAGTAGTGGGCCTTGGATACCGATGTTCGATGCCGATGTTCTCGGCTTGCACACACTGAAATACCAAGTCGTTCTGTACTTCAAATCGTGCCGGTGTCCGGTATAGTGCCGATAAAATCTCTGAACACATACCGGCACTATGCAGGGCCTTGTACCCTGTATCGAGTCTGCTGCCGCATGTCTCTGTATGTACTTTTCGTGTCCCTTTCGATTCACACGTACCGCCCGCGCTTGCAATACAACGTGCGGTCTATGTTGTCTGGGTACGTCGCCCAAAGCAGCGGCGGAAAGCCCGGGGGGCACCCAACAGAAAACGTAAGCGTTCTTTGGCATTGCAAGTGTTTCCTGCAAAAGCGGCATGGCACCCCTAGAAACAAGTGGTGCATTTTTTTTCATGCAGAAGGGAGTATTGCAACGCTAGCCCGATCAGCAACATCAACCGAAGCTATGCACAGAGCACGAGACGCCGGTAAGGCTGTCAATATTACATCCAAGTCTCACCAGCTTGGACACGGCGAGCTTGTCGTGAGCCTTGATCTGGTAGAGCAGCGACAGGGCATGGTACTGCACCATCTCGTGCTGAGAGCTCACGCCCTCGGTGACCTCGTTCACCCACCGCCGAACCACCTTACGTCGCACACAAACAAGAAAAAATGCAGCAGCAGCAGCAGCAGCAACAACAACAGCAACAGCAGAAGATCGGCAAAAAGGGTGTGTTAATGTCCTCCGCAACGCCGTTCACCCGAAAACTACACGAGAAAAAAACGAGCCAAGGGAGGGGGCAAACAAGGCAGCAAAACAATCCTATACCATCGGGAATGTCCTGCCACGGCAGATATTGCCCACAACGTTTGAGATACGACCTGCTTCCGACACGTTACCGTACCAAACGCGGCTCTGCTGTTTTCCATATCCACCCAAGCAAGCTACACCATCGGGAGGGTCCTTCGAGAGAACGATATCGCTCATAAGGTATGGCATACGACCTGCTTCCGTGACACAAGGCCGTTTCCAACGCAGCCGGGATACGACGACTTACTTCCGGGCTGATCTTGTAGAGGAGGATGCCGGACACGAGGGCCGAGCTCGACACCAGAGAGTTCTTGTCCACGATGGCCTGCTTCAGGTACCTGTCGCGCGATTTCATTTGTCAGGTTAGAAGACAAGTTCCTCATACCACGTATTTTCTCATTCTTGGGTAGTTCGCCTTGTGACCACGGAAGCCGTCCCCGTCAGTTGGACCGCGGAAGGCGTCCACGTCAGTTGTACCACGGAAGGCGTCCGCGTCAGTTGTACTGTTATAGTATAGTATAGTATAGTATAGTACGGACACTAGAAGGTACTGAGCGGAAACCGGAACGGTTTGCAATGCGAAGATAACAACAACAACAACAACAACAACAACAACAACAACAACAACAACAACAACAACAACAACAACAACAACAACAACAACAACAACACAGCAACAGCAACAACAGGACGACCGGCTGTACAAATGCGGTCTTTTACACAGGGGCCGCTACAGTACAGCTCTATGCCTTCCTTGAACAGCTCGGTAAAACACATCGAATAATCGCTTCAAGGCGAGGGAGTAAGAACAAAACATGGCCTCACCTCTCGATGGCCCCCAGCATGGTTGCGTCGATGATGCGCGACAGCACCCGGATGGAGTTGGCCCGGTAGAGGTCTTCGGAAGAGTTCATGTCCTTCGTCAGGCTCGACGTTACTGTCGGTGTTCGCGTAGGGAAACAGCAAAGAAAACGCGCGGCGGCGGCGGCGGC